TTGAATATTTAGCAAGTGGCATTTAACAACATTTTTCAATTACCCAAAATGAGTAGCTTTTGATTCCTGCTATCTTTCAGCCAAGCAGTCTATTTTTAGTCACTTCCCCTCTAATTTCTTACTCATCTGAATTTAAATGAACCGCCTGTGGCCTGGGTAAAAATTTTATGTCACTTATGACAGAATTTCATCAGGCAGACGATCACGCTCCCTGCTCTAAGTCCCGTCTGGCGTGTGGTCTTCTGCTGAGCTGGACATGGCCTGGCACAGTGCAGGAGGGGACAGATGGGCTCGTGTGTGATCTGGGGGGAGGTCCAGAGCCAGGGGCCAGCAGGGACATTGGCAGCTGACGAGGCCTGGCCCCAGTCCTCTGTCCCTGAGTGTGTCTCTCTGGGAGATGGGAACAGGGAGGGCCGCCCAGGAGTCAACCAGACTGTGTCTGCTTCAACCAACAGGGCCAGATGTTCCATTATCACCACTGCTGCTGCTCACTGCACTGTCACACAAGATGAACTTTATTTCAACCACAGATGGGACATGGGGAAGATTGGGACTATAAAACCAAAACAAAAAAACACCAATCATAGATTTGACCACAGATCAAACCCTGTCCACAAATATTTTATTTCATTTCTGCCTCGTAAAGCAATGAACAAATGAAGGCCAGGCATCCATTTCTATTACTTGACTAAATAATTCATTGGGATTATAGGGAGTTATAGGGACAAAAATTAAAAGTAGAAATCAAGAGTTGATTGAGAGTTTTGGGAGTTAACAAAGACTTTAATCTGCCTTTTCACTTAAAATGCTGTTTACTTGTTCATAGCTGTTTTTGCACAGGATCTGAAAGTTAAAAGAGTTTTTGCCAGCACCCCACTGTGCCCTCTTCTAGACTATTACCTGATGCACAGGGCATGTCTTTAACCGACTATAGTCCTACCCATGAATACAAATATTATGCAACTAATACATGATGAAAAGGACTGTTACCATTGACTTTAACAATTGGAAACCAAATATTATATTTCAAATGCTCAAAAGTCCAACAAATGGCAACCATAATAAGAAAAAGTAAAACACATACATAGGCCTGTAATTTTGAAGTGTGATATGTAAGAAAATATAGACTATGATAATATTGAACATAATTTATGCCACTGATGTAAGTAAAATTATCCCCCCAAAAATATTTCTTTGTTTAACATAAACATAGCTTAATTAAACATTTAAGTACTTAGTTTGTATCTATAAAAATCAGAGTAATTTCTTCTACCCTCTACAGTTCAAATCTCATCATAGAACAATAAAAATAACAAAAAGACCCCAACAGTACAAAGAAAAACTACCATGATAAATAATGACCCTCAAAAATGATTGTTCCATCAAACATGTTCTGAACAATAACTCGATATAGTATTTATCGTGACAGGCCTACACATATACATACATATATACATACATCAGACATCTAACCAACATTCACGGCACAAGTCTGTGTGCTTGAACTCAACATACAGCTACATTAATATTCCTCTCAGAATCCTCCTGTGAGCTAAAGATGTGACTGTTAAGAATAGGTGGCAGCGCTGTGCAAGCCTTCAGAAAGCTTACACATTTGTGCGTGCCAGCGTTTTTGACAGACTGTTTTGATGGATGGAGACAGCGCTCTAGCCAAACTGCACAGTGTTGATGCGGCTCGCGTTATTCATTCCACTGCTGCTGATGAAGTTAAAACAGCTGCGCTCCCCATTTCACCAAACCACCGCTCCACGGCTTGCGGCGCACAGAAACTCATCAAGTCATCATAGATCAAGTCACCGTGTCGTGTATGGCATTGAAAAAGTTACAAGGGCGAGTTATCGAGTGGCCGTATCCCGTGGCAGCCGCTGAAAAATGCATTTATTGGAGCCCGCCTCGTCCAGTGCTCCGCTCTGGCTTTTGCTTTCCACGGTTAGTCAGCAATCCCAATGCTTTGCCAACTCAGCTTTTTATGCCATGCCCCTGGAAATGGAGTGTTGCTGGTTCTGTAATGTACTCAAAACTACATCTGCAACCGGCTGATAAATCTATGCTTTGTTGCGCCTGACAGATGGCTTCGAAAATCTAAATTCACCACAGCACGCTGCTTAGGTCACGTGAATTTTTCCCTACCTAACCAAACTATTTTTGACTAGGGCCAGAGCTAGTGTCTTCTGGAGTTGAAGAAGCTTTAATATTTTCTTCGGCTTGCTTGGAGGAGAGAGATGACAGCTTTCTGGCTTGTTTTGTTCCACGGATGTCTCACGGTGCCATCTCCCTACAGTGTGAGAGCAGATTAAAAAGCACTGCTGCTCTTCCCATGTGTCAACAATATCTATTATTTGCTAAGGGAGACTGACTGTCCGGGCAGTAATTCGATGCGGGCTTGTGTGTGGTTACATACGTTGAGCTTGATAAATACCACAAGACGACAGATCCTTATAGTGGAGTGGCAATTGCAGCCTGACACTCTAAAGACCAATTCCAGACTGATATCTAAGCCCGGGCCAGAAATACCTCACAGTGAAATACCACCAGGCGTACTCTCCAAATCCCCTCTGTCTCCCTGTTTTTGCCTCATCTCTATGGACATTCAATGAATTGTGGTTCCTCTCTTTCAATTGGCCCACCATGTTCCACAATGTGACGCCCCGAGGGATTGTGGGATAGCAGGAGCAGAGCCATGGCCAGGTCCATGGAGAGCAGATAACCTTTCAGTGTTGCTTTAGTGCACTGTGTAAAGAACAATCAGAGCTTATCAGCGTGGACTACAAGGGGATGCTAATTCTGAGTCCCGCAGACTGACAACTGGGGACAGTCTGTGTCTGTTTCACCAGAATAACTTGTTTTAATTTTATTCGGTTACTATGGCGAATTTTGAATAAAAAAGACCACCTCTCTGCCATCATCCAAGTGAAATGTATGCTTTTCGGAATGTACCTGCCTAAGGCCTCAAAGCTCATGGAATCCGCCTCAGACAGCTACACTGCAAGAAAGAGATAGTAGGTGGAATATGTAGCAGGGACAAATATATCCAAGGCACGGGGCAACTAATCAGGGGTCAATCTGAAGAAGTGATTTGTGATCAAATGTTGTTTCAGGGATGTTTAAATTAGAATTTAATTCCAAACTCAATTTTGATACTAAGAAATAGGCTTGAAACAGATTCCAATGACCAATGATAATAAAAAAAAAACATTCTTTATACAATTGGATGTCATTTTCAACATTAAATCCTAGTACTTTCTTTTATATTACCATGTGGCCGTATATCTATCTGTAATACTTCAGTGGTCCAATAGGTTCCACAGTGGTCCATGTCTTTGTACTCTTATACTTGATCTGATACAGCTCAAGATGGCTATTCTTGGAAATGTTCTGTCCTGTAAATGTGCCTATAGTGTCAATAGCTGCTCAAATAAGTATCTAGTTCCAGTACTGGTTTTAGGATCTTATTTTCAATGCTGAACAACCCTTCTTTAATACTGGAGAACCCTACTTTAAAATGATATCCAGGAAATTTTCCACTAATGACTTCCAAAATTATTTTCACCACTAGAGCACTCTATCTGGCCTCACAACTCACTCAAATATTCAGCTTAGCAGTTAAACACGCAATTATTTTATGCTTCTCTATCCAGCTACACTACACACACATTTTGTACAGGGGTGAAATTGTAATAGCAACTACTTTCCAAAAAAATCATGTCCTGCACATTTCACTATTTAATAATATATTTTACTTTGACTCTCGTCCAGAAAATTATTTAACCACCATTTCAAGTAGGATTTAATTTAACAAAATGTCAAAAACATAAAAAACCTCAGTGTTCTGCTGCAGTGAAGAGTAATTTATGAAGCACCAGCTGCTCTGTAAAGGTTACCACCACAGGCAATTTAGATTTGGTGGTCCCTCTGAGAGACCCAAATGAATAGGACAGGCTCATACAATCATGTACATATGAGGAGGATGTCTGTGGAGCATTGCAAGAGTTTCCAGCCATCTTCCGTCATTTGCTTACTGCACTGTGCTCCATAAGGCAATTTTTAATATTCAGTTCAAACATCTTTGCTCAGAGTAAGCCTGAAGTAGACTCAACAAAACCCTTTAATTAATACCAAAGATTTTTCAGTACACTTTGTTGGTGTGAGATTGTAGTGTTTTAGACAATCACTGTGTACGCATTCACTGAGCATTCTCTTGCATGTCACATTGTGCAAAATTCAGATAGTGTCAGCCAAAATAGTACTTACTGGTGGTATGTTGGTTTAAGGCATTGTTTCCCAAAGACTGGGTTACGACCCTCTGGTGTGTCACAAGAAATTTTTTTTGGGGTCACCTTCTCACGATCTGCATGTAGGTCTGCAATATACAGTTCTGACACATGAGAACTATTTTTTTCCAATATTGCTGGTTCAATTGAATGTTGAAAAGAGAAAGGTTCAGTTAGTTTTTCATTGTTTAAAATTTGAGTAATACTAATTGTTCAGAGAGATACTATCACTCAATCAACAATAAAATATCCTCATTAATGTTCAACAATGGTCAAATCCACCTTTATTTTGTGATTTAGGAATAATGTCTACTGACTTGGGTCGCAAAGGTTTGTGACTTTTAAAATATAGGTCCCCAGAAAAAAGTTTGGGAAACATTGATTTAAGGTGTAGCACTTATGTGGTTGTTACTACCTTGGTACCATGGGCTCTCTTCCCGGCTGCAACCATTTACCAAAGAAACTATCAAAATACAATACTGTTATACTTGTATGTAAATATAATGTTGCAGTGACACATAATCTCAATCTGTAAATGGGAAATGTAAATCATAAGAAGCATATGTTAACTCTGCTTCAACTTTTGGATCCTAAGAGACAATTAGGAAAATATTACACAGACTAATATTATTGGCAGCACTATAGGACTTTAAATGTCTATTTCAAATATTACATTTTATTGTTATGTGTTTTGTGTGTTTCTGTTAGCCCGTATTGTCAGGAGCAGACAGTGGTGTGAGATGACCCCGTGCCTGGAGGGGGAGCTCTGCAGTCTCTTGTTCAACCGCTCGGGATGGACCTGCACCAAAGGCAGCGGCCGCATCAAGACCGTCACGGTAATCTACAAGGCAACTCATTAATGTATCCAACCTCTCTACTGTGAAGCTGTGGGCGATGTGGAGTTTGGGCCCAGCGCTAGAACCAGGATTTTGACTAAAACAGCAGATTAGTCTCCAGGATTAAAGAGGACAAAAACACTGGCTCGCACAACCTACAACTCTGAGGTCTGGCTCTCCCACACTCATTATTTTAATGGCAAACTCATAGCCATAGCCTTTAATATTAATGCGTTTGGTCGAGTGCCAGTATAAAGGATACAGAGAAGACTGGAGTTTGAACATGACTGAGCTGTTAGATTAGCTCTGCATTAGCATTAAGGATTAACATTTAAAAGTATTCTGGACACTTCCCAAGATTAAAGTTAGAGTAACTCTTCGAGCAGGTGAACTTCTAGATGTTACAGCTCATTTCCAACTTTAATTACAGGAAAAGTAGATGAAGGACAGCTGTCTCATCAGAGGAAAGGGTTAATTGGCTAGAAAGAGTTTAAAAAACTCAAGCTCCATCCATCCATCCATTTTCTTCCGCTTATCCAAGGTCGGGTCGCGGGGGCAACAGTCTGAGGAGGGCCTCCCAGACTTCCCTCTCCACACACATGTCCTCCAGCTCTTCCAGGGGGATCCCGAGGCGTTCCCAGGCCAGCCGAGAGACATAGTCCCTCCAGCGTGTCCTGGGTCTTCCCCGTGGCCTCCTCCCGGTGGGACATGCCCAGAACACCTCCTGAGGGAGGCGTCAAGGAGGCATCCGAAACAGATGCCCGAGCCACCTCAACTGGTTCCTCTCAACATGGAGGAGCAGTGGCTCTACTCCGAGCTCCTCCCGTGTGACTGAGCTCCTCACCCTATCTCTAAGGGAGCGCCCAGCCACCCTGCGGAGGAAACTCATTTCGGCTGCTTGTATCCGCGATCTCGTCCTTTCGGTCATTACCCAGAGCTCATGACCATAGGTGAGAGTAGGAACGTAGATTGACCGGTAAATCGAGAGCTTCGCCTTTTGACTCAGCTCTCTCTTCACCACAACGGTCCGATACAGCGACCGCATCACTGCAGACGCTGCACCGATCCGCCTGTCAATCTCACGCTCCATCCTCCCCTCACTCGTGAACAAGACCCCGAGATACTTGAACTCCTCCACTTGAGGCAAGGACTCTCCACCCACCCGGAGAGGGCAAGCCACCTTTTTCCGGTTGAGAACCATGGCCTCGGATTTGGAGGAGCTGATCTTCATCCCAGCCTCTTCACACTCGGCTGCAAACCGCCCCAGTGCACATTGCAGGTCCTGGTTCGATGAAGCCATCAGGACAACATCATCTGCAAACAGCAGAGATGAGATCCTGTGGTCCCCAAACTGGACCCCCTCCGGCCCCTGACTGCGCCTAGAAATTCTGTCCATAAATACAATGAACAGAACCGGTGACAAAGGGCAGCCCTGGCGGAGTCCAACATGCACTGGGAACAGGTCTGACTTACTGCCGGCAATGCGAACACAGCTCCTGCTCCGGTCATACAGGGACCGGACAGCCCTTAGCAAAGGGCCCCGGACCCCATACTCCCAGAGCACCCCCCACAGGACACCACGAGGGACACGGTCGAATGCCTTCTCCAAGTCCACAAAGCACATGTGGACTGGTTGGGCAAACTCCCATGAACCCTCGAGCACCCTATGGAGAGTGTAGAGCTGGTCCAGTGTTCCACGGCCAGGACGAAAACCACACTGCTCCTCCTGAATCCGAGGTTCGACTATCGGCTGGATTCTCCTCTCCAGTACCCTGGCATAGACCTTACCGGGAAGGCTGAGGAGTGTGATTCCCCTGTAATTGGAACACACCCTCCGGTCCCCCTTCTTATACAGAGGGACCACCACCCGGTTTGCGGTTTGCCAGTCCAGAGGTACTGTCCCCCGCCACGCGATGTTGCAGAGGCGTGTCAGCCAAGACAGCCCCACAACATCCAGAGACTTAAGGTACTCAGGACGGATCTCATCCACCCCCGGAGCCTTGCCACCAAGGAGTTTGCCAACCACCTCGGTGACTTCAGCCAGGGTGATGGATGAGTCCACCTCTGAGTCTCCAGCCTCTGCTTCCTCCTCGGAAAACGTGACAGTGGGATTGAAGAGATCCTCAAAGTATTCCTTCCACCGCCCGACAACATCCCCAGTCGAGGTCAACAGCTCTCCCCCCGCACTGTAAACAGTGTTGGTGAAGAACTGCTTTCCCCTCCTGAGGCGCCGGATGGTTTGCCAGAATTTCTTTGAGGCCGTCCGATAGTCCTCCTCCATGGCCTCCCCGAACTCCTCCCAGCTTCGAGTTTTTGCCTCTGCGACCGCACGGGCTGCAGCACGCTTGGCCCGCCAGTACCTGTCAGCTGCCTCAGGAGTCCCATGAGCCAGCAAGGCCCGATAGGACTCCTTCTTCAGCTTGACGGCATCCCTTACTTCCGGTGTCCACCACCGGGTTCGGGGATTGCCGCCGCGACAGGCACCACAGACCTTACGCCCACAGCTACGAGCGGCCGCATTGACAGTGGAGGCTGAGAACATAGCCCACTTGGACTCCATATCTCCAGCCTCCCCCGGAATCTGGGAGAAGCTCTCCCGGAGGTGTGAGTTGAAGATCCCCCTAACAGAGGGCTCTGCCAGACGTTCCCAACAGACCCTCACAATACGCTTGGGCCTGCCAGGTCCTTTCCGGCTTCCTCCTCTGCCAGCGGATCCAACTCACAACCAGGTGGTGATCGGTTGACAGCTCAGCCCCTCTCTTCACCCGAGTGTCCAAGACACGCGGCCGGAGATCAGATGACACGACGACAAAGTCGATCATCGACCTCCGACCTAGGGTGTCCTGGTGCCACATGCACTTATGGACACCCTTGTGCTCAAACATGGTGTTTGTTATGGACAAACTGTGACTAGCACAGAAGTCCAATAACAAAACACCGCTCGGGTTCAGTTCGGGGAGGCCGTTCCTCCCGATCACCCCTCTCCAGGTGTCACTGGCGTTGCCCACGTGGGCGTTGAAGTCCCCCAGTAGAACAACGGAGTCCCCAGTCGGTGCACTGTCCAGTACCCCTCCCAGGGACTCCAAGAAGGCCGGGTACTCAGCACTCCTGTTCGGCCCATAGGCCGACACCACAGTGAGAGACCTGTCCCCAACCCGAAGGCGCAGGGACACGACCCTCTCGTTCACCGGGGTAAACTCCAACACGTGGCGGCTGAGCTGTGGGGCTATAAGCAAGCCCACACCAGCTCGCCGCCGCTCCCCGTGGGCAACGCCAGAGAAATGGAGGGTCCAACCCCCTTCAAGGAGTTGGGTACCAGAGCCCAAGCTGTGCGTAGAAGTGAGACCGAATATATATAGCTGGTATCTCTCAACCTCCCGCACAAGCTCGGGCTCCTTCCCCCCCAGCGAGGTGACATTCCATGTCGTCACAGCCAGGTGCTGTGTGTGCGGACCAGGCCGTTGGGACACCCGTTCCCGACTGCCGCCCAGTCAACTCAAGCTCAAAGCTCAAAAAACTTGGTATAAGCAAATTAACTCACACTGTTCCTTTAGGTATATTGTTTTGTAGTTGTTTTTCATCTTTTCTTTGGAGTCTGTACATTATTTAATGTGGTGTCTGTTCTATATTACATTAATTCATAAATCATATCTTAAATACAATTTACATCCAAACTGTTAGTCAATTCTTAAATAGTAGTTTTTCCAAATACTTTTCACTTACTTAACTGTAAATTGTGACCACTCTACCCACCTCCGCACACTAGGCAAGACATTGAGTTAAGCACATGTTAGGTAGGCAACTTGTTTGTAATTGTAAAAATATTTTCCTCAACCTGTGCAGATCTAGAGCCAGTACTATTTATGATTCGCCTATCATTTCTAATTCCTGACTAATAAAGATTTTCCTTCATTGTAATAACTTTTTAAAGAATTGCTTAGCATCAAAGTTTGAAACAGAAAACACTGAACTTGCTGACTAACCAGTGTTCCAATCATGAACCAGATGTGAATGCTGCGAATGACTGAAATATGTCTGTGACCTCCCCCTGACTCTATGGGAAATGTAAATGAACACAAAACATGTTCAATTTTTAACTGCCTCAATATCATCTGCTCCTCGTGGGCTCTCCACACTGCAGCGGGGCTGCGTTTTCCTGATCATGAATGTGAGATTTAATATTCATATGCACAACTTGTCAGGCTCAGAGCTATGGATTCTGAATCTACAGAAAGCCGATGTTCTCTGTTGCCTATGGAGACGTACTTTGCATCTGGGCATATTTTAAAATAGTAGGATATGGCTTTTATGTCTTAGCCCTGTCTCTTCTTTATTCATTTGGTCTTACTGTTTATTTGTCAGCTAGAAAATAAAGAAATTATTTATGAATTATGTATAATGTTCTATAAATCTTCAAGCAAAATCTCAAAAAAGACCAACACAACATCAATTATTATCATCTATTATTAAGACATTGGTTTGTAATTAGATTGCTGCAAATGTGTCCCCTAATAAACAGACAATACAGAATTAGAAAACGAATTACTATTATTATTATGCATTTTTGACCTTCTAAAAATACTATCGTTAAGGTGCAACTTTTGTTATATATATTTAGATATTCATGGGTTTCACATTCATGTTATATATATTTTGAGGATTTTTTTCCCAATCACAAGATATAATATTTAGTTTTAAATGGTTAATCACTATGGCAATGGTCCTAATTTTTTACCATTCTAAAATCCATGGATACATACATAATTTTTTTTCACATAAAGAAAATGAATTTTTGTTTAAAGGTGCATTATGTAACTTTATGGTTGGGGGTCCGTCACCTGCTTGTTTTTATGGATGTGTCATTCCTCTACCTGAAATGTTCCACAGTATGACATTAAACAGCTCTGCCTTAGATTTATTAAGTTACAAGTGGTTTTATAGCTCAAAAACAGCAAAAAAAAAATCATGAATTCTCATGATACCTCTCCACAGATCTGACCTGTAACTTGGTCTGGTTTGGTCTCTATAAAGATACTGGTTAATACCATATTGTGAAACATTCCTAACAAAACTGTAACATCTCCATAGAGAAAACTATTTGGCAGTACCTTCACCAGATACATTACACAATGCACCTTTAAAAGAAAGACATCTAGAGAGTTTTACTTCACGTACAAGTACAGGAGTAAGGTCACATTGTTTTCAATGCGACTGCTTCTAAAACAGCCAACGATGGTCCCTCCCCTGGCACTGTGTTCTACCGGTCCACGAGTGAGTAGCCATGGATACAGTCTCCTGTGCCGTTCACACCACGGAGCTCTGCAATTTCACACTGTGCTACTCTGCGCCTGCTGCAAAAGATGGGGGTCTGTTCTCTCAGCACTAAAGGCATGTAGGCAGTGTTCTTACATGGAAATCATTATGAGCCAGAATACGCTAATTACCTCCACTGTTGTAGCACTGAAAAAAGTCAGTGTTTAAGATTAGAGAATGGGTATTGGGCTTGTCTGCTTTTCCTTTATTAATTTGTTGGCACATAAGTTCCTTATAAGCAAAAAGAAAAAGGGACACGTTTAACAGATGCTGCTGTGCCATTTTTTATCTGTCTCTTTTATATATGGAGCTTTTGATGGCAGGTTCATTTTCAGCTTGATAAATCTATACCATTTCCTGTCATCAATTCAGCGGGAGCGTCTAGTGCAGGCAGTGCATTTGAAAGCTGTAAAAGATAATATAGTGGTAACACATAAAGATATTACCGAACCAGGTGAGACATCGTAATATATATTCAGATGGATTCAACAAAATGCGTCGTCTTAAGTGTAACACGGATGTAGCACACCTTGAAAAAGTGCCAACCAAGGGATATCCAAATCTGGTTCCTCTCAAGACTCAAGTCCTAGTTTGTTGACTTCAAGACTCAAGTTTCACTTGACAAGCCCCTGTTTGTTTCGTTCAAGCCTCAAGTCCCGCTTTGTTAGCTTCAAGACTCAACACCTACAATAGTTTGTTATCTTCTAGACTCAAGTTCTAGTTTGTTACCTTCCAGATACAACAGGCTGGTACCACTACGATCTATTAGTCCCCTCTTCCTGTCTTTGTTGTCAGTGATTCAGTTGGATAATCAGTACAGTTGTTTACTGTTTTCACAACATAACTGCCCTAACAAGCACACCACGCTGTCAGGTGCATGCACCAGGCTGTCTGCTACAACTAATTGTGGAAGCAATTAGTTGTATCTTACTTTAATTAAGTGTTTGGTTCAGTCTACACAGCTCAGCATAGCAGCCATTCTTACTGCAGTGGCTTCCTGTTTTTCTCTCGTATGTTTTGTCAACAGAGAATGTCGTGTATGTTTAAGGAGTGCTACACAATCAGAAACAGAGTACAGCAGAGGCAGATGGAGAGAAGCACAGTGCAGTGGGATGATTTCAGCAGAACATGACAGAACATAACACAGGACCTGCGTCTTAGTGGCAGCAAGAAATTTCTGGGTTTGATTCCAGGGCTGTTCAAGTTTGAGCTTCAATACAATACATGGGTCACGATACATTAACATCACAATATGGCGCTGCATGCAATAATCTATATATTGCTCATAATATTATGTGATGAAGCTACCACAGGCATTACATAAAGATGTTACTTTCACTCATAAGAAATATGCTGCTACACCTAATTTTGTGAACCAGAAGATGCTTGTGCTGATATATCGAGAAAGAAACCTGCAATATTGATATCAACAATTAGGTATTACAGTATATATTTTGACACACCCCTACATCCCACCTCCTCCCATTCCCTGCTTACACTCGAATATAGGCCGACAGCACCATGAGCTCGGCGCTTGGAGCTCTGGCAAATACATCTCCACTGCAGATTATGTATTCCACTGCATATCCCACTGCAACCTCAATTAGCTACTGCTGAGTGGACTTTTATCGGAGACGCTAATCACTAGCCTTTGGTTTTTGAGTGGGTAGAGGTAGCTGTTGGCAGCAAAACAGACAAGGTATTTGTGCTAAGACCCAAAATGGAAGAAAAGCACATTCGGGAAGATAAACACAAATGAGAAATCTATACAGACCATTGATCACACTGGAGTGCCAGAGACGGATGAGGAGGATATTTTCCCTAAAAAAGAAAGTCTTCTGTGGATCCAGGGTTTATTAGGAATCTTATTGTACAAACTTAACAACATTCTACTTTTAGTGTTTGATAGAAAAGAACTTTCTCTAGAGATATGAAGTGTGGGCTGGTGGCTGACAGGCAGCCACAAATCAATACAGTTTGAGGAATAGAAGCTGGATTTAACTGGACCCTGCCAATTACCCAAGCATGTGATTTAGAATAATGATGCCAGTTACACCTACCCCGACACTATATTTTGTTAAAGAGGCGTATTATGTTTTTTTAATGATTTTTTATTTTATTTTATTTTTTTAAGCTTTCTACCATGTTATAGTGTTCCTTAATGAAAAACATGCCTAAAGAGGTTTTAGTTGTTTTACTAATTTAGCAATCTCTCCTGGGCTCTATGTGTACCCTCCTTATGTTTGCTGGAAGATTTTTGGCGAATATGGTATTTTCAAAATAATAAAAGGTAACATGGTGATCTAATGATGTTATGTTGTTTACAATGTTACCCTGAAGAGTACTGTTTGGGTAATATCTTATATATGTAACATTTTACTATAAAACATGTACTAGAGATGTATATGTATGACAGCGTTGTATGTTTTTGTTCTGTCATCCATTCATTACACTGCATTACCATTTGGGTCTTGTCTTGGTGCTTTTATTACTCTGCGGGAAACTGCTTATAAAATCTCTGGTTAGTTCCAGGAAAATTATTCACAGACACAGTCATTTACCACTGGAAATGTACATGTTCACCTATACATCTCTGTCTTTGGACTGTAGGAAGAAGCTGGAGTGCCCAGAGAGAATCCATGGCAGCCCAGGGATTGAACCTGCAACCTTCTTGCTGTGAGGCTGAAGTACATTTTACATATTTGTTTACAAAATATTCAACCGCATATGCCATCATTGCCCTTTTAACATGTTATTATGCTTAGTTATACACAGTTTGAAGTATTTTGTTCATATGTTGAAGTAAGCACAGGTCAGGTAGCATCAGGTCAGAATACTGTTTCTCAAAATTCAATGTGAACCAAAGCAAAACAGAAATGCCGTCCAGCTTACACACCCTTACCCGTTCACGTCACACCACAAGGCACTCTTTAAATCTTAGTATACACACTGTAATAGTAATTCTCTGCTCTAGTGAATTAACTTAAATGGTTATATTGTATTAGCATAAACATAAAGCACTCAAACCACCCTGCCTTATTGGCTACGTGATGAAGCGGTCGCCATGGACGCGCGAGGACATGCACCTGCAGCTGTGTCCTGTCCCGCTGTGTTTAGCTCACAGTGGCACTAGGGGTCACCGTTTCTGCCTAACCTGTTAATGGAGTTTGCATATGGCTGCTCTCCTCTGCCAGCCAGCTATTAATATGAATCGCCCTCTGGAGGCTGGCCCCCAAAACAAGCAGGCAATTTGTCTTCACTAGGCGGTATGAAAGGTATGATATCCTCGGAGGGGGAGAGCGAGCGGTGTTGGGGTAAGGCCTGTCACAACAACAAATTCTGAAGTGTGAAATATTGCTAAAGAAAAATATCACTATAAACGATAATATTGAAACTACTTATTACCACGGATAGAATAATCCAGACTGTAAAGAAGTGGACTAAGTTTGAGTTACAGAGAAAGGGGTGACAATTTTTTTATGTAAAGTCAAGTGGAGCTAAAGTTGATGGTGCTCCCATGCTCACTTTGGGTTAGCTAGGTCCATTTATAAATAATGTATAGAAAGTTGTGCTTTAAACTTGTTGCAATGAGTATTATAATATTGCTGTAAAAAGTATCGTATTATTAACATATTAATGCAAATCTATTTTAACTGTGTTAATTTTTAACATTTTTGAAAAATCTCAAACTATTTTTTTCATAAGCTGTGGCCATCGCTAGTAACGTTAGAAAAACTACAGAATCCAGCTGTAAACAGGAAGCAAAACAATTTGTATGAAACTGAGAAGCCCTATCAGGCATACTGATGTTATTCATATGAGAAAAACTCATATGAAATAAACTCCAAAGCATACAGCGAATCCGTGCTTACCTTCAATAAGGATTGTGACAGTGATAGAAGTTTAGCAGGTTCTGTTCCGGCTGTTCTCACTGCTCCGTGCTATTGTTATATCCATAAACTCATATTGGTCTCACTATTTAATATTTCTGCCGCTGGACTTATTTTCTCAGCTAAAGTGATAGTTCTGCTGCGCCACATGTAAACAAACAGTGCTGTGTGATGACATCATCGCCCTTAGTACACCAGCATTGGGGCAGACAAACATGGTCGCAAGGACAGAAGCAATAAAAAAACATCTCCACAAAGCAAGCACTTTTCTGTTGATAAGAGTAAGTACTAAAATTGTTATTCAAGGGACAAAAATGAGCAATAAATTTGCAATTAATTGCGAGTTAACTATGACATTTGTGAGATTAATCATGATTAAATATTTGTAATCAATTGACAGCACTAGTAATTAGTATTCTCGGAATGCATAAGGTAACTGAGGAATAATTTTAAACCTTTGGAACTTTGCAGACCAGCTTTTTGAGTACCATGATAGATAATATGGCTAAGTATTTGTCAATATCTGGTATTAGCCAGTGTCAGTGTAGGGATTAGATAAAAAGTGGCTTTTTTTTCTCTCAAAACACAGTTATTTTGTTTTACAAAATTGACCTGATTATGTTATGTAACTGTTATGTATCCTGTAAGTAACTACTGATCAGCTTTGTATGAGTTAAAGTTCAAACATCATGAGATGTCCTCAGCCTAGTCAGCAAATCAGTCCAACTAGGATATTGGCTGAACCGAAATCATGGATGTGGTTTTCTTGGATTGGCATGATATTCTATTCCATTATCGGTGCATCCCTAATTTCAGTTTTTTACATTTTATACTGTAAAAATCAGGAACAAGGTCTTTAAATACATGTGATTAGTTCTAGTATCTGTAAAGGTCATAGATGTTAATTATTCGATCAACTGCTTCTACTGTTGCTTAATACTACAAATACAATCCCTAATAGTGCAAAGGAAAGGTACACATGATGAAACTATTACCCATACTATATACCCATCATATATTGAATGATAACTACATATAGTAATAATTATGGTGACAGGCCTAACTTTGTGTACTTGACAACAGGGTGTGGATGATAAATGCAAGGTTAGAAAAAGGTGAGGGATGTCAATGAGACAAATTATGGTACTATGTTAATGCTAATCATCACTTAGATGTTGAGTGCTTATTATGTGGTGGCAAGAGTGACGCACAAATTAGTAATTTTCATTATGATGTTAGTAGATGGAGCTTTTGAATTGAGCTTACTTATTAGTCATTATAAATGATCAGCCTATAGAAATGTGATAACAAACTTATGTGACTATTATAGCGACAATGATTCCCAGTCATGCACAATAAGGAACACATATTATGCAAAACTGAGCTTTTAACCCTTTTATAACTCCCTCATCAAAAACATTCCAGTAGTTTTAGTTTAATTTGTGCTTTTATGACACAGACTGTGTGGGTGTTGTAAGTTGAATGGGGAGACTGACTGAAAATATGTTAAGTCCACAACTCAAGTGTAAGAATCTTGTCAACTGTACCAATCATGCACTTAAAAGGTTTAAAAGGTATTGGGCATTCTACTTTAAAGAGGTACTTTTTTGTTGCTCTTTTTAAGTGGAACAGTCTGTTCTTTGTGGCCATTATTACAAAATGAAATGTAGCTATGAGGAACTGAGGGGTCTGTAGGGTTTTTTCTCCAGATTTTTTGGCTTTTTAGCATATCGGCTATCGGACTTCTCCAGCACAGGCTGATCCCTTGTTTTGTGACCTGCAGCTTAAAAATACCCGTAGAGTTTTATTTGAACACTTAAGTGCAAATAGATACCTGCTGAAAATGTAAATACAGTGCTCTTTTAAAGGTTTTGTTTATAATTTATTTACTTACAAATGTTATATTTATTTATTTGTAAATTATATAATTTGGTGGTAGAAAATCAACATAAAAATATCAGCATCAGCCATGAAAAACCCATATTGGTCAATCTCTAACTTAAACATGCATGACAGTTGAGGTCAATCTATAACATGGTTCAAAGCTATTAATAACAAAATTTTCCTAAATCCCTCTAATTTCAATTGTTTCTCAGGCAGTCTGTTAATTCTAATGTATGTTTCTACAAACTTGAATTTAAATCAGCTCATCAGAATTCCTTCTCCATACCACAGTGAGCTCTACTCACATTATGGAGTCTGAGCCAAAATGTAACTTCACAGTCAGGAGGCAGTGAGTTCAGAATGATAAGTAAGAGATGCTCTGATCTGAATGTATCCTCACTGTGGTTTCTAATGCAGTCCAACCCTTAGACAATACTACTGAGAGCCTTCCCACGGACCCACACACCCGAGCACAATGTCTGCACAAGCACGGATAAGGAAAGTGTGAATATTTTAGAGGTAATATTTTGTACGCTGTTAAAGTTTCAGTGTGAAAAGAATGAAATAAAGCAGTGGGTTTTGACATGAACCCGCGCAGAAGTTCATTCAATTTTCGACAATGGACTGGGAAATGAAACATTTGAAAACAAAACTTGTTTACAGTGTAATCACATAGTCTGAAATTGACAATTTGTTGAAGAGAAGCATTATCTGAAATATGGACACTCAAAAGGCAGGAATTTCATTTTTGCAAGCTTTTTATTAAACACTGATGTGGTAATTTACTCAAGGCTGCACGTGCATCAGAGAGTTTGAAATGATAGCAATATAGTTCAGGGCTTGGGGCTAACAATTTAGGTGCAATGGTGCAGCTAAGATTTTCATTTGGATGCACCAGAACATGATTTGGGTGCATCAAAGTCCAGACTGATATCAAATCTGTATAAGAAATACAGAGAGATAACTGGATTTGTCAGACAACTTCTAATGTATTGTATTGTTGGGCCAATAGCATTTATTGTCACTTGTTCAGTCATTGGGTTAAATTGAACGTAAAACTGGCTACGTTCTAAACTGTACAAATTTTGTCTTTCCTGTCACCTCTCCTGTTTTGAATAGGAAGTCATTTGACATTGACATTTTTGTTACTAAGCCATTTTAGATCAATAATTTATATATGTTATAGTTTATTACTAAAAACAATAAAAACGAAAATATAATATGTATAAGGCGTTATTCCTGAATTGAGAATGTTTTAGAGAGTTTTGTCAATGTCTCAAACATTGTACCACCTCTAAGCTTAAATAAATGATTAAAGAAAAAAGTATTGGATATGGCCAGCCAGCAGCCTTATTTTTGTACTAACGTTACACAAACACAAAGCACAGTTTTGGGTCGCAGAGAGAAAAGCTGCATCTCGGAGACAAACATCCTGGCATTGTCACTGGTTTGTTTTGTTAAAAGCACAGAACAGGCCTCCTCTCTGAGCCCAGTGGGTCACAGAGGCTGGCATCATGTTTGGGAATGTGTTCTTCTGCTCTGGTGACCCTTTTTCATGGTCTTTGTTCCACTGACAGTTCACAGTGACTGAACCAATGCTGCTGTAAACATGAAGACTAAAGGCTCTAAGTGATGAAAGCACAGACGGGATGTCTCTGCCTTACAATCAGTGTTGGGAAGAAAATATATGTAGTTACAGAATACTGAATACCTGCATTAAAATGTATTTTTTAACGTGTTCTATTATGTGGTCCAATCAGAGTTTTGTATTCTGCAAACACAGAATACTTTCACGCAGAGTTGCACTTAAATTATAGTGTAAAGATACAACATAGAATTGAAAATAGCTTTATTTTGTTATTTCCTATCACTAACTGGAGATGG